GGCTGGGTATGGTGGGCCCGTTCCGGAGAGGGCTCAATCCTCCCGCTACTCTCCGATCTGGCGCGCAAATGGTCAGAGGCTGCCAACAGCCAGGAGATTCAGCCCAATCGAGTGAGCTTGCGCGTCACTCTCCTCTGGGGACTCTTGACCTGTCTCCAGGACAAGGTTACCAACCTCACCCAGGATCAGATGGTGTTTGCAGTTCGCAGCTCGTGGGCGGACGCGAATGGAGGATGGAACTTCCAGAAGTGGGATGCTCACCATCAGATGCTCGTCGTGGACACGTCTCGCCCGCCGTTGAGCACTGCGCAGGTCAAGGAAAGCTTGGGAACTCTCCTTCAGGCGATCAACGGCGACACGCTGACTCGGTTCTCGGCGACTCAGGAGATTCGAGCAGACGCTCAGGGCAAGATCACCTTCCATGCGGACATCAGTCTTCGAGCGCCAGGCTCCGATACCCTCTACCAAGAACGGTCCGCCTCCAGGGCTCCGCAATCTTCCAGATCATCGGGGTCCAGTTCAAGCCGGAGGGATATCACCGCCCCCCTCTCATCCGGAGGCTCCAGCAGCTGATTGGGTGAGGCGCATCACTCTGACTAATCGCACTAATATTTGTTACCTTAACTCGGTGGCACTCAGCATCACATGGTCTGTTCTCTTTTGCACTCCGCACTTGCAGTCGCTTCTTTGTCCGCATGGTCGCCACGCCCTCAATGTGCTGGTTGATGCGGTTGGTCCGGTTAACCTGCTGCGTAGCCCCCCCTGGCAACGCTTGCTGCACAACTGGGCACAGCCCACCCGTCAGCATGACGCGGCTGAACTGCTTATGCATCTTACATCGTTGCTTGGGCCCCAGGTCTTTGATGGCGTGTGGGAGTCTCGGCGTCAGGAGCCCGGGCAAGTACGCACACTTGATGGCGGCACATGTGCCGCAGCGATTTCCCTGGATCTCCCGGGGCGAAACGGCAGTGCCGCCTTACAACAGCTGGTCAACTCGTGGCATTACCAACATACCATACAGGCCCTCCTGCAGCCTCCACCCTTGCTCATCCTGAGACTCTCCAGGTTTGTAGCGACCCGCCGCAGCTTCAGGAAACACACAGGCCGCGTCAGTTGGAGTACTGCACTTCAGGTTCCGTATTTCACTAGTGCCACATTGCAGACGGAGGTCATTGAATATCGAGTTTTGGCGGCTGTGTGTCATCAAGGCCAGTTTGCCACATCGGGTCATTACACTACGATTCTGCATCAGCGTACCCAGGCATGGCTCTGTGACGATAATGTTAAGCCGAAGCCTTGGCCGCCAGATTCCGAAGACCCACTGCAATTCTCCTCGCACCAGGTATATCTCTTGATATGCCGGCGAGAGGGAATGGCCAACTGAGGATCAGGCCGGGTTGCGCGCCGAGCGCACACAGCGCTGATGACTGTCGAGCTGCCTTCGCTCTCTTCAGGTTGGCACTGGTCGCATCGCTCTGATGCGTGGGGTCACTGAGGGGACTCGTTGGCGCTCCGGTCGAAAGCAGCGTGTGCGCTGACCGTTACTGGTCATCCATGTGCGTGCCGAGTTATTTGCAACAGCCTTCTCCATGCACTTCCCGCCCCTTGCACTCCCTTGCATCCCTACCTTACCGTGTCGGTTTGAACGGCTCACAGCTGCATGCATAAGCCACGCGTGCTCGGTTGCTCGATGACTTATTCTTAGGCATTAGTCACTTCCCCACCCATATCATTTAACTTCTCAGCTAGTTCCGTTCAGTTCCGATCTGGACAGCCAAGGTGCCACTTTACCACGACTGTTCACACACGATATCCCACCATAACCTTCCTTTCCACGTTTCATGCCTACCACTCCCACTAACCACTGAGGCTATATAACCTCTTGGATCAGGCTCTCCCGCGGTCGTTGACCTCGGGCCCTCGTGACTCACCACTGCCCCACATTGCCTCCGGCTCCTTTAACCTTCGGCGCGTTTGGCGACTGTCGTTACTTTGCCATTGTGCTGCCTGCGTCTGCACCTACACCAGGCCTCTGCTCTGTGGACTGCTCAGGCACTCGCCTGTAGGTGGCTGGATCCATTTCGCGATCGTCTCCGACGTTGTCATTGAGCTCTATCAGCGTATTGGGGCGTTGGGGTGCTGGGGTGCCCCTGCCCCTGCACTCCCGCCAATTCAGCTGGTTACTGCGGTTTGAGGTTTGAGGTCTGAGGTTAGAGGTCTGAGGTCCAGCCAGGGAATTCAGAGAAAAAAAAAAGCGCATGTTACCACGAAAGCCAGAACACGTGCCTCAGGAGTTATGGGAGCTGGAGCTCCCATCCATCTTAGGACTGGCACATCCTCGCATCGCGGATGCCGGCACCGACTCGGATGAGTTCTCGCCGCTTGGCGTCGATGTCTTCACTCAGCCTACCCAGATCTCGGACCAGGCTCTAGCCGGAGTCTCAGCCTCCTCGTCTACGTTGGCAGCCGCGTCATCTTCTTCGCCCACTTCACACCATCCACTGATACACCCTTCGCGCTCGACCATTGCAGGTTCCGAGCCCATCTTCGACGTTGATGCGGACATGACCGATCCAGTTGATCAGAGCGTGTTGGACACTCAAGTCTATACGACGCCTGAGGCGCCCGCTATCACAGCTGGGGACTGGGGTGAGGTTTGGAACATGGAAAGGCCGGCGCAGGGATTTCTAACATATGAGCTGCAGCTGGACAACATTACTTTGCCCCCAGCGCCGGCACGAGATGCTTCAGCGATGGAATGGCTGGCCTACTTTGTGTGTTCTAAGCGCAGCTGCACAACAGACGATCTGCGCCACCTCTGTCAGTTACTACCCTCGCAGACTTCGGCCAAACGGCGTAGGACTACAACTTCTGATGGAGGCACTGGTCGTCCTCAGCGCAGTTTCTCAGTTGGGGCCTACTCAGCAGGAGGATGCCATGGTATACAGTGCAACACCTTTAATTTTCCCTGGACAGCGTGTTGGCTGGCATCTATGGTTCAGGCGGCGGCTCCCTCACATCGGTACAGCACTTGCACATTGCTTCACAACGTGATGCATTACAGGCACACCGGCAGCCGGAAGGCACCGAACACCACCAACCTCATTATTCCTTGCGACTTTTGGCGAGGGGGGCAGCTTTGGGTTGCCAACCCCCACGGTTCCATCCATTTGGACTCCACTTCAGGGCCGGGGTTGTTGCGGGAGATAGTCAGACCTTATGTGATTCAAAACCCGTTGACCCCGCACGCGACCTTTCCGTGGTCACATGGAGACAGAACCATTCTGGTTGCTCATCATGCGCGTGGACTGGAAGCTCTCACACGCGATCAGCGATCAACTTTGACTGGTTTTGGCTTTCAGCTGCTTCCTCTGTCTGGTGAGGCAGCTTCTTTGGAGCCTTGATCCAGTATTCCGCATTACTGCAGTCGGCACTTCAGCATTTCTGCGATTCTGCATTTCTGCATTTTGCATTTCAGCATTCCTGCTTTCTGCTTTTCTGCTTTTCTGCATTTCCGAGCTTCTCCGGCTTGAACGGGGATGGTACACGCCATTGGTCAGAAAACTCTGTGACTTTACGGCTTCATCACTTACTCTGGATGATGGATGTTGGAGCTCACACTGGCGATCATGGGCCTCGCCTCTTTTTACGTTAAGGCAAAGGATGTACAGTTGATCGTCGGTACATAGTGAGATTACGATTTCTTTTGAGCGCTTGTCTTCG